TATATATATATATATATATATAAAATCTCCAATAATTAAAATTCTGTGACATTTTTAAGAGAATCATAAACAAATGCTCCAAATGTCAGAAATTTTCCCTGCTAAATAATGAATCACTGAGTTAATTGTAGTTCATCATAAGGTCTCTTATTATTGTTATTACTCTGGAAATGATGTTAATCATTTCTGTTATTCAATAAAAATGTTTAAATACATACAAGAAGAAATACCCATCCAAGCTAATATGATTTACAGTAAAATAAATAGATGAAAAGACCCAGTTCCAAACTATTTTAATATACTGTTTATTTTTTTAAAATCTATAGTTCTTTGTTTTAAAATAAAGAAGAGTCACTGATGTAAATAGATTTTCTAATTTTCCTCATATAATAATCTGTGTTGGCTGGTTTTATCTTGGCACAGCAAGAATAAAATTTATATGTGCCCAGAGTGTTCACATATACTGTTACTTGTGTCTGCTACAGTCTACATATCCCTCCTTCCTTAAATTACCAAGCACAAATTATCAACAGCAAGTATCAGTCAAGTATTATTGTCTTAAACTACCAAGCACCAATTATCAACAGCAGAGAGTTTCATCTCTTTATTTTCTCTGGGCAGAAAGTGCTCACCCTCTCACCGCCCAAATATATATATGCATGTATGTTGAGCAAGAATAGAGATGATGGGAGCAATTTTAAAAATGGCCTTTTACTAAATGGAAATTTTCAGATTGTATATGCCTATATGACAGCTTTTTTATGAGACTGCAGATGACAAGCTATTAAAATCCTAAATGTGCCACAAGTTCCAAAAGTTTGCAGCCCAATGCAGAAAGAGAATGCAGTGTCTTAAACTATTTCTCCCATCATTCTGTTTGTCCCCTTTATTTTCTCATCTTAAACTTTTTCAGGTAGAACCCGTTCACTGTTACCTGGTTATCTTTCTAACAAAAAGTCCATTCATGCAATATTGAATGGAGACCACAGAAAATCTTATCCTGTAAAAGAAAAAAAAATAGCAAAGAAAAGCCTTCCCCTCTGAAAATATTAGGAAGCATTATTTATGTACTTATGCATGCATGTATATATGTGTTTATGTATACATATAAATAAAAATGGGAGTAAGCCAAAAAAGTAAGCAAACTACCATGGTGAGGTGATATGTAAAATTGGTTTTATATTCCCCATTCATTTTCGATTCTCTCTCCTCTCACTTGATCATCAAAATGATTGCTAATATTTTGACATATTTCAAGTAGAGTTGAGGTACTTAAATATTTTTTGCTCTGGGGCTTGCAATTTGCAGACTTGACTTTTTGATGGAATGGATGCTTGTCTATAAAAATATTCCATATGACATTGCACTGATTAAAGTATATCATACTCTAAATGTGGAATATGTTTGACTACTATACTCCATCAAAATAAGAAATGAAATCTTAAAATATATTTTTTCTAGATGGAAAGTGAAGCACAGGTACCTTATAGCAAAAGCCTAACTAGGTTTGTCAAAAGCCAAATAATATTTTATTTGTTTCCTAGTTCAATCACACAGGACAAGGAAGTATCTGCAGTCAAGCCATTATGCTGATTACTGATGGTGCGGTGGATACATACGATGCAATATTTGAAAAATATAATTGGCCGGATAGGAAGGTAATCTTACTATGCTTATCCATGAAATAACTGGATCAAATGTTGATCAAGATTTGCATTCTCACGGATATTTCTTTATGGATGGATATATACTGTCAGAAATCACTTTGTAAATGAAGTTTTAAAGTCTTCTAAGGATGTTTCTATTATTTCATGACTTTCTGCCAAACTGTTTAAAAGTGGAACATTCATTCCTGTGTTGGATGAATTTGGTAAAAGGTTATGTTCTAGAAAACGTATCTGAAGCATTCTGACATTAGGATATTTAATGGTTGGACACAATACTTTCTGATTTTCAGTAGATGAAAAATAGAACAATTTGAAAAATAGTTGAAAAATAGAACAATTATTATCCTTCCCCAAAAGAAAAAATGAGCATCACAAAATAGTGTAATAGATAAGATCAATTTGTTTAAAAATGACATGAGTCCATTTAAAAATGGTTGGTATAATTTCAATAGTAAATTTATTTATTGATTTGTTTATTTATTTATATCCTGCTGCAGTCTTAAAACTCTGCAGTGAGATATCATATGTATCAACTTGCTTAGAGAAATACCTGTACATATCAGGATAACATGGAAATATATGATACAATAATCTGTATGCACGATCAAAACTTCTGGGAATTTTATGGCTCTGCTTTCCTATTTCTTAATCTCTGAATTAAAATAGGCAGCTCTTCAAGTGGAGGTTATATGTCAAATTAAACACAAGGGGACCCTAATATTGAAGCATTTCTCAATACAACATCTGGGATCTTATCAATTACAGAATAGAATTTAGTTTCCTTTATGTATGATCTGTGATCACTGAAAAAGACAGCTAGGTCCGGTTAAACTGAAATGAGTGTGTATGTGCTACTTTTCTGTGATTGATTTGTATATCAACTCCTTTACAATGCATTAATGAAAATACATTATGGGTAGTATGAAAGAAGTATTACTTTTTATTGCATGTGTGCTGTGTGGTTAGGCAAGACAGTTAATTTATCTGGTTAATTTATTTTTGTATCAGTCATATTTTCAGATTTTGAGAAAAGTATTCTTACATAAGTAAACATTTTGATGGAATTACCATTGTTCATATTTGTTTATGGATGAGTCAATAAAGCAAAATCTTAAATATCTTAAATCACAGGTGTCAAACTCAATTACATCACATGACGTATCGTGATGTTTTTGCCTTTGCGGAGCGAGGTGGGCATAGCCTATGAGTGACGCATCTGGCCCGCAGGCCACTAGCTGGACTGGCCTGCCTTAAATATTCCCTTTACTATTGCCAATGGAAACCAATATTTAAAATTTTATGGAACTTTCCTTTAGAGAAATTATGTAGTTGGAAGATAATTTCTTATATCATAATTGTATTATAGTATTGATGAAGATAAATTATTAATTGTTAAACTAAAACCGTAGAGTATGCTACTACGTGTACATAGCATTCCTGTGTCAAAATTATATTGCTATTAAATAATGGAAATATTATTCATATTTAAAACAGCCAGAGCAAAAAAAAAAAAAAAAATAAGATCACATATATAAATTTGGATTACTAATCACTTTCTCTAAAAAAAGAGTCAGAAGGATGACCACATGATGTTTAATGCATCATCTAGTTTGCCCATCTGTTATATTTGTTTGAGTGCAAAGTTAGATCTGTACATATTTCTGGGCTTCATTGTGCTATGCAGTGCTTTAAATTTGATTCAAAGAGTTACTTTTGAGTCCATGAAAATGCAAATGTCACACTGGTTTCCATCTCACTAAACTGGTTTCATCTGTCTTACCTTGATTTTCACAAATGAAAGGCTGTGCATTCTTGGGAAAATTACATTTGTGACCCCATGTACTCCAAATTGGATCTGCAGCATTACTATAGCTTGAACTTGCCAGAAGCTACCTATATGCTCGAATATAACATGATTAGCTAAATATATTAAAGACATATAAATTAGCCAATTTCTCTTTGTAAGCATGAAGGGGAATAAAGCCTCTACAGTTTAAATTTTCACTTCTTCCTGGCTTTTCCCAAGTTTAACAGATAATTTTAACCTATATCTTTTATTTTTGTACAAAGTGTGGCATCATTGGTTATTGACATTAATTGCCATTCCTGCTTTGAAATACCCAATGTTTCTCCCTCAGTATCATATATATTTATGGAAACATACTTATGCACATAAAATCCCCCACACACCTCTTTTTTGATCTCAGACTATGCACTGATAATGTAATTTGGAGTTGTGATTAGGAAAATAAGACATGACACATTTTTATTTTCCTTAAATGTTAGGGATTTCTCCATATTGCCAGTGGCGTGGACTATAGGACTTCAAACACAATCTGGATAATTAAAGCTGGCACATTTCTTCACCTGGCACTGATGCTCTTGACAGTTAGTGGTTTTGTCATTAGAAACTCAATGAAAGCTGTGAAAAAAGACTTCTTGTATATTTTCTGGTAGGGTGTACAGTGAATATATCACAATCCTTTTAGGATTCAAACTGTATTATTTATGTTTACACTTTCCTTTGGTTTTTGGTAATACAGCACTATTTCAAAATAGGTGTTTGGTAAATATAGTTATATTTAAAATTCTACTTTAAAAAACTAAAAAAAATGTTTATGTGTCCCCTCACCATAATTAGAATGGTGTTAATTATGCATACGTCATGAATGGGTTGTTCTATTTGCAAGCAGTCCATTCATATGTAAGCGTCATGTGAAAACAAGATCTATTGTATTTATTCAGCTTATGTTTTGCTATATTCCATCTGAAATTGACCAGTATGATTAATAACTTATTGAAAAAGCTATTTAAAATGAGTACTGAGACCAGAGAGACCCAGGTTCAAACCTACATTAAACCATGAAAACTCATGACTCAGTTATAGTTTTCCATATTGCCTCCCTGCCTGCAAAAGTTACATTTCTTCTCCTGCGTAGTAGCTATTAATCAATAGCTACTACACAGATGCATTTGGCATTTTTTTTTATGAATAGCACAATGTTAACTTTTTGTCTTTGGGTCTTCTTTCTTAGAAATTCTAATTCGCTGAAGCATTGTTTTCTTCTCTATTCTACAGCAATCCCTGTGCTGAGCTTCCATCACTCAGGAATTTGCATACATTCAGACCCCTCCATCTTGTTTTTTCCCTTTTTTTTAGGCCAACCAAAACTCCTTCTGCATAGCCCATTTCAACTTCTCTCCTTCCTCTCATGACATTCTTTCTATGTGGAAAATCTCATCTGTTTTCTCCCAGAAAATTTCCAATCTCAGGCTATCATCTTTAAATGCATTCTATACATTTGGAAGATCACATAATTGAATGGCACACTGTGTTTATCGTCTCCCTTCTATCACAGAATTATTCCTTCAATTGCTCAGGTTGTAATGATTGCCTTTTCTTCTAGCTAAACCCAATATATTGTGGCATTAGTTAATTGTGTGGTCTAGTTTTAAGAAAAGAGGTGAAAGAAATTGTACTTGGAGAGACACTTTCAAAAAGATATATCCTCTCCTTCTCAGCATAAAGTGGTGTTCTTGTGCTGAGGTAACTGGGCAGGGTATCAATTATAGTTGAAGAGGGAGAAATTCCTTACTGAAAAATGCATTGTCTTTCTGCACACCGAGTGTATACAACTGCAGTCCTTTTAAGAAGACATCTCCATTCAACCTGAACTATTGGTCAGGTGGGCAAAATATAAGGCAATTCGACAGAGGACAAATAGGGTTTTTTGATTCCATGCCATTGCTATGGACAAGCTAGATTTGTATTTCTTAAGATGGGCAGCCATATACATCTTTTAAATGAATAAATGGCAAGATTAAAATATATAAATAATCAAATAATCATGCTGAGTTTCGAGTCATCACTTACACATCATCACGTGTGATAGTATAGATACAAGTGGTTTGGGATTTGAACAATGTGTGAACCTTCCCTAAATGTTCATCATTTCAACAATGATCATATATTTCTGTTAAATAATCAAAGACTGATAATAAAGTCCATGCAGTCTGTAAGTTTTGCCTAGACAAATGTTCCGTAGTCTCATTTTTGGAAATGTCTTCTTGGCAGCTTTTTGTTGGTAAATGCTGCAATCAAGCATGCAGGTGCCTCAGAAGACAGAACTATTATATCTAAGTCCCAAAGGTGCTTTTCCAAGAGGCAACTGGATTTCCTGGTTTTTCTTTGAAGACATTTCGCTTCTCATCCAAGAAGCTTCTTTAGCTTCTTGGGACAACCATGACCCTGATGACTGAGAATCTCCATAGATATTATATTTAAGCTTTCTTGGGAATTTGGTTCCACAATGGGGTGGTTCTCTACAGTTTAATCTTGTAAATCCCAGTTCAACATATCATATACTGTATGGTGTATTCTAAGTGTTTCCAGAGCTTGATTTATTGATAATGCTAATGCTAGTGCAGTCATTACGTACATTTTCATTTTCAGAAGCCTTCTTTTGAAATTCCACTGGGTCATCTATTTTTTGGTTTGAGCAATCCTGCAAGCCAGTATCCATTCTTTGTCATGTCATTCTCTTTCAGTGTTATAATCTTCTCTGTTGTAATCTTCTCTTGGCAGTAGAATATAAAGAGTTCTCATTGAATTATTTGGAGATTAGTCATTATACAGTTATGCACAGGGACAGGTAATTAAAAGGGGATTAATCTGATAATATAAAACAAAAATAGAAATTTGTCTCTTTGAAAACAAGATGTTTTCACTTTCCTATCTGGATCTTCTCCCTCTGCAATCCATCTTACATCTCTGATTATTTTTATTTGCACTACCTGTAAATGATTATCTTTAGAGTTATTTCTCTAAGTATAGCAAAAATTTGCTATGTTATGTGTAAGCCTCACCCACAAATGGCTGCCAATAGTTCTTGTTGTTAGGGGAGAGTTTTATGTTGTTCATTTTATTTAATGTATGTTTATTGGTTAATGGCCATACTGAAGTTTGTCTTATCAAATATTTGTGTTTGATG